CCAGTGTGGTTTGAGCAGTGAGAGCCCCAAGGCTGGTAGCATGAAGTATAGAGGTAGTGGTGAGGGGGTGGCGAAGGGGGAGATCCCACAGGCTCTATAGACCATTATAAGGACTTTGACTTTTAATCTGGGACATCAGAAGCCAGGGAGGGCTCCAAGTAGAGTTGTGGCGTATCCCAACCAGTATCTGAACAGCTTCACTGGGCTGCTGTATTCAATTAGACTGTAGGGGTAAAAGCAGGGACACCAGTCAGTCAGCTACTGCGTTTTCTGGTGAGATTGCTCATTATGAAGCAACAATGTAGCAATGGCATTTGGGATAAGGTGAACTGGGGGTCTCACAGTGTTGGAAGCTTAGTCATCTTCCCAGTCTGGGTAAAAACCCCTGAGATCCGTAACTCTGACAATTACAAAGAAATCCTCACAGAGCTTAGACAACTTCACATATCCTAACACAGGGTGCTGTGCTAGCGAACATGTGCTCAGCTGTGCTCTTGAAGCCTAAACCCACAAAACCAGCTCAGATGGGAAGTGGGGACCCCAGGCAGAGGCCGAATATCATCGGAGAGTTGCGTGTAACAGTTGCCCGTGTAGAGCAGTGTTTTAACAAACAGGACAGGGAACTCAAAAGGGAAGTGCAACCAGCGCCCGGGGTTTTATCTGCTTTGTCCATAAAAGGAGATGAGACGCTTCACAGAACTTGCTGTGGGCTGGAGGGTACAGTCCACTTGTTCTCACACGACATGGGTTTACGTGGTTTCAGCCTTGTGAGCACGAGTTCTCTCATGCAGTAAAAGTTTTGTTTATTTAAACTGCTGAAATTCCAACATCTGCATTGGGTATCAGCTCCTTTTATTTTTTTATGAGTCCACTGCATTTTCTCATTCCACGCCTTTCAGAAAGCAACTTCAGGGCCCCAGCCCTGCTGGCCAATCAACGTAATGGGCTCTCTGATCTTGACTTCAATCCATTTACTTGTCATGAAGACTGCTTCTTATCGCTAATTAAGACACTTGGGCACGACTTCATGTACTGTTCAGATGTAATAGTTATGCCTTAGGTTGGTGTGATTGGCAAATTACCCAGCATTGGTGCTACCATGCTGCCTCCTCCCATGCCTGAGGCAGAGGCTGCTTCTCAGTCGCCCACGCTCTCCCACTGAGCTTGAACTTGTCTCTGAAACTTTCTCCTGAAATCCGAGATAGCACCATCATCAGCCCAGGGTTCCAGAAAGTCATGCCAATTAATGGGGGCAAGCATTCCCACCGAACCACACTAGGGTTCTATCCAGCATAATCTCAATTTCTTGCCTTTATTTATGCCATTTGGAAGTAGACCCCCTAGTCAAAAACTCTTACCTTATTATGTATACTTGGAAGTTAGGTGAAAACATATCATAGCAATAAGGTTTGGATTTCTAACTAAGATAAACATTTAATAACGAACCAATGGATCTAATAACAATGAGCAATCTTATTAAAGATCTCTTTTTTACATTAACCAAAGACTTTTTATTCTAGATTTATTCATGCTTCTGTTTATTCATGCCTGCATTTTCTTTCGGCCTCTGGGCTTCTCACTTGATTTAATGACATGGATGGATCACAGTTTTCTAGAGTTCTGCACCCATCTCCAAGTTGACATTAATGTTTCTGGCCTTTGACAGTGAACAATTAATCGTGCAGCAAATGACTACATTGGGAAAGAAGCTATAGGGGAAGCCCCAGAAGAATGACCCAGGGCAGGATTTCTGGAGCAGCTGGAGATGCAGTAGTGTCCACACAAGGAAATGGCAGCAGCCACAATTGTGAAGCCTCCTATCTGAAGTTTTCACTCACTGAGCCATGGGGTCAGGAACTGGCGTTAGCTAAGTGCCTGTGTGCTCCTGGGTGTCACACCCCATTAGAATCAGGGGCCTGGGGCAGAGTCACAGTAGTTTGGTCCCATTCCCTACTTACTTTTCTTATTGGAGACTCAAAGAACTAGCAACAGAACACCTTCGTGGGCCCCAGGGAGCTCCATGTGCCCCCTGCCTCTGGCATGGCCGTGTACCAACCCTGCTGGGAGTCATGCACCTGTAGGACAAGGGGAAGGAGATACTTCCTTCCTGCAGCAATGGCACCTGCAGGACAGCTGGGTGGTCAGCTCTTACCTTTCTGCTCTGCACTGGGACAACATGGAAGTCCCCTCCCGTTTTGACACTCTTCATCCTGTCGTCAGCCCCACAGCCCCCTTTACTATTTCTTCCAGAGCTGCTAGAAATGAGTGCAAATGAGGCTGATGGGGCTATCTCCTACTCTCTGAGACAATGCTTTACAACAACAACAACAACAACAAAAAAAAAAAAAAGGAAAATCCTTATCATGTATTATAAATCCCTCATCATCCTTCCTAGGGCATTACCTGACCATGGAAACGGGGGGAAATGATGCAGAAATTGCTGCTGTTTACAAGGCCATGGCCCTTCCCTAACTCAGGTTAGGGTCAGGGCAAATGGCCACTTGCCACTAAGTTGTAAATCACTGAGCTGCAACTTGCTAGTTTCCAATAGTGGGGTGCTGGCAGGAATGTTTCCCCCCTCCACTGCCTAAGCCTGCCTCTGCCCCCCATCCCTCCCACTTCCTGCCGTTGTGACCAGATCAGGCACCCGCCTGGCTGCTTCCCTGTATCTAAGCTTTCTGTGCTCTGGAACTGGGGTGAGGGTGAAGTGGGAGTGAGGGGGTGAGTGAGGAAAAGGAAAGGGAATGGAGTGGCAGACTGGTTCGGGCCAAAATGTTCTGTTATCGGAGCCCAGCCTTGGCCCGGCCCCTTCCCCAGAGGCAGGGCTGGCAGCAGGGTTGTTAGAGAATAGTTTCAAGCATCTTCTGCCAGGCCATGAACACAAGGCGGTTTGGGGGTGTCAACGAAATGGATGACAGTGTACCTGTCTTGACATCCTAGCGCTCGAGGTAAGTGTGCTCACCAGGCTGCTGCAGGGAGGGAATGAGAACTAGACAACTGAGTTGGAGATAAAGATGTAAAATAATTATGGTGTCACCCAAGTGACAATATGGCCTAACTAGTTTACCTGGTCTTGTCACCTAATGAAGAACAATTTCTATAACCCAATGACTGTTCTAATCACTAGAATATTCATGTCTGTATATATTCCTCACTTCTTTTTATTTGAGGCCAAGTACACAAATCATTGTGCTTAATAACAAAGAATGAGTTAAGTGCTATAAGAGGCCTGCACAGTGGCCAGGGAGAAAGTGTGTTATGAGGAGCTGTGGACTTTGGGGGGTCCTGGCACCTACTAGCTCTGTGGTCTCCAAGAGGCATTAACCTCTTAGTTTCCTCATTAGTCAAGAGGATTTAATTCACCCCTGCTCTGCAGTGTTTGTGAAGATTAGAGACAAAATAAGAACCTACCACAATGTTCCAAATAGACCAGCCTCTCGATTAATAGCTACCACTACTACTAGAGTTTTAAATCAAGCTGTGGATATAAGTTCTGTGATACCTCTCCTGGATGTGAGTATCCAGCTTCTGGGAACACACTCCATGGGAGGCAGGGGAGAGGAGGGGGCACCTTGAACCTCTGTTTGCCTTCTTTGCTAGGTTAACAGTAGCTGCTGCCATTAGTTGAGGCCCATGCACCTGCCACTGTGCTAAGCACTGTACATTCGCTTTCCCATTTTATCCTCACAATGGTTCTATAAAGTGTGCTGGTCCCTTTCCACAGGTAGGAGAATGGCGGTCCTCCAGCTTGCCTAGGCCCCACCAGTGGTGGAGGTGGGTTTTAGGTCAAGTCCAACCCCGTAGCCCAAGCTCTCTGCCACTTCCCTAGAGTGTGCCTCCAGATACACTAAGCAGAATAACCACCACAATGCCTCCTGGGATGCTCCACCGCTGTTCCTTCCTCCCACATTTACCTCCTTCTTTCTCTCTCCCATCCTGCTCACTCATTTCTATAGCTGTGCTAAGCACCCTACTTTCTTCAAATCCCATTTCCTTTTCCCCAAAGTGAAATTGGTGGGACAGGGATTTTGGAGGGTTGCCTGTTTTCTGCTTACCACCATCCGTTAATCGCAGGAGCCTGATTTCCCAGCCCTCTTACATTTACCCAGTCTCCTTACACTCTACAAGGCCACCGGGAACTTCCCCAAACCTGATCCAGGGGTAGTCACACTGAGCGCGCGCCCCCGCGCGTGCACGCGCGAGAAAGAGCCCAATTCATTCCCTGCGTCACCCCCGCAGTTGTTCAGAAACGGGCTCACTGGTGTTTCATTGGGGAGGGCACTACAGCCTTACCCCCTTCCCTAAGCCCCTGATTTTCCTGCCTTGCCTGCCAGTGCCCCATAGGATGCTCTTCACTCCCTGCCATCACCCAACCCTAGGACAGGAAGAGGAGTGATGTGGGGGGAACCAGGTGGCTCGGTGGCCTTCCCGTGTTCTGTGCAGTTGTCACCAGGTCCGTTTCGGAGGGCGGTGAGCGTGCAGACGAGGCTGGGCTGCCGCGGGGAAGCCATGCACGGGCTGGCAGTGCCACCTGCTGAGAGCCCCGCGGGCCGGGCCACCTTCTATAAATAGGCTGCTGAGGACAGAGTGTGCGACCACATCACGCGCGGGCGCCCCAGGAGCACCACAGGCCAGGACCCTGCTCTGGGACGGGGCCCGACACCTCCCCCGGGCGGGCCGAGGATGGACCGCGAAGGGGAGAGGCAGGGAGGGCAGGGAGGGCAGGGAGGCAGCGGCAGACCCGCACTGCAGCAGCTGTCGAACGCGTGTGATTCGCCTGTCCCGGCGGGGCCGCTCGGGCGGTCACACGGCGCAGTGTGGTGGGGGTGGGGGACCGCGTGGCCCTCTCAGGTCCCGGTGGACCGAGTCGGGAGATCCCGCTCCTGCCCTCCCCTCGCCTCCCCCGCGCTCGCCCAGCCGGGGAGGAGGAAACGCGAGTCGCGCGCAAACACCTCCTCCTCCTCCTCCTCCTCCTCCGCCACCGTGCCTGTTGCTGCCGCCGCCGCCGCGGGGCCGGCCGTGTCCCCAGCCGGGTGAAGAGGAGGCGGGAGCCGAGCCGAGGGGCCCCCTCCCAGGCCCCTGCGGCTGAAAGCACGCCGCCAGGGGGCACGATGGACGCCCCGCCCGCCCAGGCCGTCCCGAAGCTGCCCCCGGGCACCTGCGCGCCCCGGCCGGGCCCCGCGCTCTGAGCGCGCCGCTCACAGGTAGGCGCTTCCCCGGCTTCGTACACGCCACCCCGCCGGTTCCTCCGGGGCATCCCGGCCTGCCCCACCCCCAGCGCTCCGGGCCCGCGGGGAAGCCGGTTCCGGCAGCCCCGGGGCGTTTATGCTGTCCTCGCGGCCCGGGGTGCGCTCCGGGGAGGAAGTTCATTGCCATCTCTTTGCCCCCTAGATGGACGAAAGCGAAACCTTCTAGTTCTTCACAACCCAGGAGCTCGGAAAGGCTGCCTCCCTCTGCCCTCCCCACCCCTGCTCCATGGTCCTCGCATCTCCCTCCTTCGCCTCCCGCCAAATATGTCTTCGGCTATGTGTTTGTAAGGCGACCAGACCGGGTGGGGGGAAGGCGGTCAGAGTAACCCCATGCCACCCTTTAAAAGTTCAGGGTACTTTGCAGCAGTAAGTTTGGCAGCTGCACCAGTGCGCTCAACATTTCTTTCTATGGGCACATCCTGTATCAGTCATTTCGAAACCCTGCTTAATTGTTTCTAGCAGCTTCCTGATTGGTCTGTGATTATGGGGCCCCTCCAACTTCCACACGCTGTTGTTTTTATTTTAAAAAAGAGGTGTCATTTTCTTTGAAATCCTCTTAGAGGCGGCTTTACCCATTGTAAATTGTACTTATTCTCTGCAAGTTGCTTAAAAAGGAAAAGAAATAGAAAGTCATAGCTGTTCCTTCCACTAAACAGTTTTCAGAATGCCCTACATAAATAGACAGGTATTCACTTCATCTAGATCTCATTCCTCCTTTTAGATGATTGGATCGTTTTATTTATTAATATAATCAGACTTTGAAAGAGCATTTAAAAATGACCTGGTTTAAATGAGTCACACCCAAGAAACTCAGCTATCTCTACAAGTTCAAACTCCTAAACTTTTTGCACTGTACCTAAGCTGAACTGTAGGGGCCTTGATAAAACGCCCTTCTTTAGGAAAGCAGAAATTCATTCTCTTCCCCAGATTCCAGATGGGGTTGGTTGGAGTTCGAGAATGGCCACCTGTGGGTTTTGTCGTGTTTTGGGACCTGCTCTGTGTGGGAGGGGTTGGGAGGAAGAATGAATGGGGAGCTGTTCCAGGAGGCTGGGAATCCACCTTGCAGAAGGACTCCTCATATTTCTGAACACTTCCTGTCTATCATTCCCTTGGGTTAGGGGACCCTGAAGCAGGTGAGTCCCAGAGTTGAGATGGCTTCTCTTGGTTGGGGAGGAGCTCCTTTCTGGGAACTCTGAAGACATTCAGGAATAAGGACATTGCATGAAAAAGTTTGTATAGAAAAGGGTTGACTGCTTTTGTAAACAGGTGTTTTACATCTGTTGGAAATGGAATGCTATCATAGTCTCAAATCTATATTTTTTTCTAACCAAGTTATAGGGAAATAAGACTCTCAAAAGTGCTTTCTCTCCAGTCTTAATCTATTAGTAACCATTGACAGAATGAGCTGCTAGGTAGTGAGCACAGCTGTGATTTAAAGGGTGAAATGTGCCCTGGCCGGTTTGGCTCAGCGGTTAGAGCGTCGGCCTGCGGTCCGGAGAGACCCGGGTTCGGTTCCCGCTAAAGGGTGAAATGTTGAGGGGCCATTTTCTTTTAATATATTTTTATTGTTTTTTTTTTTTTTTTTTTTTTTAGAGAGGGAGAGAGAAAGAGAGTGAAACATGGATCGGCTGCCTCCTGCACGCCCTCTACCTGGGATTGAGCCCACAACCCGTGCATGTGCCCTGACCAGGGACTGAACCTGCAACCCTTTGGTGCGTGGGACAATGCCCAATCAACTGAGCCACACCAGCCAGGGTGAGGAGACATTTTCTTAAGTAAACACAGTGGAGTATCGTGAGACTATTCACTGAGCACAGGAGGTATAAAAGAGACTATAATAGCTCAAAGCAGTAAATAAAATCATCAGGTGATAATTAAAATAAATGCCTCTTTGTGGATTTGTTCAGCTGTTTGCAAGCCAGTAAAATAGGAGGAAAATTCATTCATGTTATAAATTATTAGCATCAAGGTAAAGTTTTGTGAATAGGACTGTGCCCTAGTCTACCATCATCTTTCCCACAGAGTGCTCCGGGGATTTCCCCTTTCCTTACGACAACATTTCTGGTTGGGTGCAGTCCTGTCAGTGTTGACCTTTTATCCAATTATGACATTGTCACAGTACCAGAGGCCATGAGAAAGAGACGGGCAACTCGGAAGAAACACAGCTTTGTCTCCCTTATGAACCAGCTGTTGGCAATCTCTGTCTCCCACTTCCCTAGAAAGCAGCCTTCCCCCAGCGGGCCTGCGGTAGCAATCAGATGGGCCCCTGTGGGGAGCCAGGTGCGGGTGGTCAATTCCTTTCCTGCCCAGATCGGATCTTCTACGATGTCCCACTGGGAAGCAGGGAGGAGTGCTGTACTCGGCAGCATGGAACTTCCCTGCTCCCGTTCACACCCACATCTCCAATCACTGCAGTGCCTGCAGTAGTGCCCAGAGGATTTTGTCTTTGAATATGCTTTTAATTTTATGTCACAAAATGACAACTCCCTTCACAGCATTTCTTTGAAGGTCCCTAGTTTCCACTCTTCAGATTTCCCAGATGACCTAAAGCGTGCATCAGCCCTTTAGGGGTTCAAGTCAGCTTGTGTGGGGGTGCCTTGGCATAATTTGCTTTGCCCTTTTCCCTACCTTCTCAAGTTTAATGGCTCCCTTAGTTCCACTATGTGATACATTTTCCAGCCCTTTTCTTGATCATTAAAAGCCAGAGAAGCAGAATCTGTTCATTAAAGATGACTGTGTGTCCACTGAGCAGACAAGGAGTGTTGGTGATGGCAAAGGGTTACCTTACAATTGCCTTTGCTGACTTTTATCTTTGTTTCTTCCTTTCCAACCCCGCATACTGATACAAAATATTTTTAGACCAGATTCTTTATAAAAGACAGGAAGGTTTCCATTTTCAAGGTTTTGACATTTTCAAGCCGAGATTTCCATTGGATGGATTCTTAGATTTAAGGGCAGGGTGTCCCTTTTCAGGTTTCAAATGTTTAACAAAAGATTAGTCATATGTGGGCCATCTGAATTCATCGTGACCCTTAGGTTTCAGTGAAACTGTGCAGCAGATATGTTCGGCACCAACAAAGAGGCATTCAGGTTTGAGTGTGCCTGTTTCCTCTGTGACAAGCAGTAGCTATTTTTCATAAGAATGTACTCATTTAACAATAGATTATTTGTGATCAGTGACTCTACACTTCCAAACAAACATAATTAATTTATCTATGTGAAGTTCTTAGAACAGTACCTGATACATAGTGAGCACTCAAATATTACTTGTTGTTATTATGTATTTGTTTTATTTTATAGTTTTAGAGTATAACATTGACATTAGATTTGGATTACTGAGGCCAAGAAAGATTTAGGTAGAAAAACGACCAGGCTAACTCACTAGAAAGATATTTTAGAGTTATTCCGTTCTGGAGATATTCTCATATCTCAAAGAACAGAAATTTGGGCATAAGACAGGTCTGGATTCAAATCCTGCCTTCATCATTTACTAGCCAGGGGACCCTCAGAGTTGTAGGAATATATTTATATATATATATATATATATCATCCAAGAAGAGGCAGCAAAGTGGTGAAGCACAAGTATAAACTCTGGGTCGGGACCTGAGTTCAAAACCCGATTCTATCACTTGCTGCTAGTATGAACTTGAGCAAGTGACTTCACTTCTTTGTGCAGCAACTTCCTTCTCATTTCTCATCTTTAAATTGGAGCTGATAACTATTTACAATAGATAAGATCTGGAAATAGCCCAAGTGTCCATCAGTAGATGAATGGATAAAAAAGCCCTGGTACATATACACAATGAAGTACTATGCAGCTGTAAGAAAGAAAGATCTCTTATCCTTTGAGACGACATGGAGGGACCTGGAGAGTATTATCCTAAGCGAAACAAGCCAAGCAAAGACAAATATCACATGAGCTCACTTATTTGTGGAATATAATGAACATAACAGTCTGAGGAACGGGGTAGTCCCAGAGACGTGGAAGTGGGGTACAGACTGACAATCCCCAGAAGAGGGGGTGGGAGGGAGAGAGAAACCACAGAACTTATATGCATGTGTGCATGAACAATGGACATGGACAACAAAGCTGGGGACAGGGCGGGGAGGGTGGGGGAGGGGGGTATCAGTGGGGAAAAAAGGAGAAACATCTGTAACAAAAATAAATTAATTAATTAAATAAAATGTAAAAAAAAAGAACATAACAGCCTGAGGAACAGGGTAGACCCAAGATGTGGAAGTAGGGTACAGACTGGCAATCCTCAGAAGAGAGGGTGGGAAGGGAGGAAAGAGATAAACCACAGAACTTATATGCATGTACACATAACCGATGGACACAGACAACAGAGCTGGGGACAAAGTGGGGGGAATGGGGAGAAGGGTGTCAATGGGGAAAAAAGAAACATCTGCAACAAAAATAAATTACTAAAAATAAATAAATGAATAAATTGGAGCTGGTAGCCCAGAGTGTGACTCAGTGGTTGAGCGTCGACCCATTCACCAAGAGGTCACAGTTCGATTCCTGGTCAGGGCACATGTGCAGGTTGTGGGCCCGATCCCCGGTGGGGGGCATGCAGGAGGCGGCCAATCAGTGTTCTCTCTCATCGATGTTTCTATCTCTCCCTTTCTCTTTCTCTCTCTAAAATCAATAAAGAAAAAAATAAATAAATTGGAACTGATAATAATATTTCATAACAGTCCTTATTGTCCAAGGTGGTTGTGAGAGCTAGACACTAAGGTGCTATCATGTGTTAACAATTATTACTAATAGACAAATGGATAAAGATGTGGTACATATATACAGTGGACTATTACTCGGCCATAAAAGATGAAATCTTGCCATTATTGACAGCATGGATGGACCTAGAGGGTATTATGCTAAGTGAAATACAGACAAAGAAAGATAAATGCCATGTGATTTCACTTATATGTGGAATCTAAAAACCTCATAGGGA